TGAGGAGCCCTCTGACCACATACACTACTCAGGGCCGGATTAAGAATTCTGAGGGCCCTGGGCACAATGTCTTAGTACGCCCCCCCCACCCTTAGGCTGGCCAAATGTAGTTTGTTCAAGGACATTTTAATTTGGCATTAAATGATTAGTTCACTTTAAAAAAAAAAAAAAACTTTTGCTGATAATTAAATCACCCCCATGTCATCCAAGATCAGTCTTTCTTTCTTCAGTCGAAAAGAAATGTAGGTTTATGATGAAAACATTCTAGGATTTTTCTCCATATAATGGACTTTATTGGGCACCAAACGGTTCAAGGTCCAAATGAGAGTTACAGTGAAGCTTCAAAGGGCTTTAAACGACACCAGACGATGAATAAGGGTCTTATCTAGCGAAACAATCTGTCATTTAAAAAATAAATAAAAAATTTTAAGTTTTATATGCACAAATGCTCGCCTTGCTCTGTTCTTTGATGCGCGTTCGTGACTCTCCTGTTCGAACTCGTTCATCAATTTGAACACATTTTTTTTTGAGTAATTTCGTTCATTGATTCGTTTTTGTTATTTTATTATTTAGATGTCCAGTGCCCCAAGTTTATGACATTTTCTATCCTCTTACTATAAACCTAATCCTCACACAAAGCTTTTTGCACTTTTAGATGTTAATTAAGTCGTTATTTAGTGTGTTTATTAAGACATTTTCCAAGTGGGGACTGTTGGCTGATTTACATAATACATAAGATTTCAGGTTTTAGTTTCCTTCTGAGCAGTGATGCCTTCAGCCGTACGGTGGTATACCATGAGATTTAATTGATTTTAATTTTAATTTTATTTTTACATGTATTTTAGATTAATAATCAATAATCTATCTGTGTACAATCACGATATATTAAGAAGTCAAATGTGTGTTTGTGCGTGCATGGGTGGGGGATGGGTAAAATACATTTGATTGGCTATTTTAGTTTTGTTTAATTTTTCAATACACAAAAACTGACATTACAGATGGGTAATGTTTAAAAGCAAAAACACTCATTCAAGGATGTATTGCTTGCACATCCTTGTATATAAATAACTACAACAATTACAAAAACACTGAAATAAGAGTGTGCGTTTTATCTGTCAGTCATGTGCGTGAAACTTGTGTTTGTTACTAACAAACATAGCACATTTTCTTTCAGAACCATCATTGGCTGGTTAAAAGAAAAATAGAATACATAAAAGTTTTTTTTATAAAATTAATAAAAGTTAAAGACCCACTCATCATGTGAGGTATGCTATAAAATATTGGGTACATAAAAAAACATATTATGAATAATGCAATGAAATTTCAATTACCAGTGAACTAGCCAGAGAAAGAGAACTTTATTTTTAGATACAAATGTAATAATTGTATCTTTGTGGATATCCCCATTGAGACAGTTAGCATTAGCATTATGTTTTGTAAAAAGAGTCTTTCTCATACACTGTACAAGTTGCGTTATTTGAAGATTTTTTTTTTTACTTTTTCTCACACACATCCATGTCAACAGCCTCTCTCCTGCAGAACTGTGGGATATTGTGTAAGGATGTGTGTTAGCAGGGCATGTTTCCTCGGCCTGTTACATCAGAGCTGGGATTTTAATCAACTCACTGTATTCCACACACACTCCATAAAAACATCTGTAACCCAGCCAGCTCTGAGATAACATTTATAGCATATCCCCAGAGCTTCTGATGTGTTCGGGTTTCAGGTTAGATTATATTTGATGTCAAATGGCATTTTAAGGATTTATGGGCAATCTGATTATTTATTGTAATCTGTGAATGTGACGTTAAAGCTGCTCTAAGTGATTTCTGTGCTCCAAATGGCATTGCAAAAGTAATGGCCGTTTGCAAACAGATGTTCCAAACATTCCCCCATCTTCCAATTTATATTTGGCAGATGTTTTTTATCTAAATTGTCTGACATTGATATAAATTGGATCAATTGTTAAATTTCCTAGGAATCGAACCCATGATGACATTGTAACAGTAGCTGCAAATTTTCTGTTTGGCTGCTATAACAAGGTCTGCTTTCATAGATGTGCTTGTCAGATATGAAATTGATATGAAACCCCAAATGTGCATATTAAATGCAATGTCAGTCACTTTGAAATACAGGCAAAACCGTCCAATGGCAAACAAATCCATACTAGTAATTCAATAACATTAGTCACAAGAATGAAAACAATGGTCATAACAGTAATCATCAACAATGGGAGAATGCTTAGTAAGGAAGAAGAAAGGCAATACTTAGCAATGTGGGAGCGTGAACACATGACTTAAATACAAGCTGAACTGGAAATGACATGACAGGAGCTGATGTGGCAGAACCAGGAAGTGACATACAACATCTAATCAGATGTTACAACTATAAATGCTGGTTAAAATGTTGGGCCCTATCATACACCCGGCGCAAGGAAAGTGTTTTTTTGCTAATTTCAGCCTGAGCTGAAAAAGCAAATGCATGTGTGCCCATCTGTTCGCCCATGGGCATGCAGTGCTGGTCTAAAAACGAGGTGTGTTGTTGCTGGGTTGCTATTTTGAGGCAACTGAAATAGACTGCGAAATTGACCAACAAAAACCTGGTCTAAAGTCAATGGTGCAGTATTTTTTTGTTTGTTTGTTATTTAAAGGACTCATTAGTAATATGTGCATATAGGCGAGTGCACACTGCGCACACACTCTTATTACACACACAGGGATGCGCAGCAGCACACAAACATACCAAATATTAAAGAGGTGGTAAAATGCCATTTTCACAAGATGTAAAATAAACTTGCGTTCACGTGCTATGGAAAATAGGATATTTTCCACTTGTGAACTGGTATTTACCAGTGTGTTGCGTTCAAGTGCTTTTGTTGTCGTAATGTGGTAAAAAGATGCAGATCCAGACCTGTTATTTAGCTAAAACTATTTTAGATTGCTTAAGTCATCTTCTACAGCAAGAAAATGATTTATCAAAACTCAAAAGGTAAATAATATGCTGTATATTTTCTAGCATGAATAGTGTATAATTATTTTACCATTCACGACTCTCGCAGTGCTCTCCGCCATTTTGAAATGGTCGAAGGTTATCTCATCTCGGCAACTCGTCCATCAAAATATTCTACGAGTTGCCCAGTGGAAAATACCACATGAGGGGGTGTTCATGTGCATTTTCCACGTCGGCTTTTGGCATTTACCATAATTACCATGGCACATGAACGCAGCATAAGTCTCTGATGTGTGTGTGTGAAGTTTTAGCACAAAATACCCCCCAGATATTTTTATATAGCTTGTTAAAGTTGTCACTTTTTGAGGGTTTGCAAAACGCACCGTTTTGTGCCTGGCCCTTTAAATGTAAATGAGCTGCTGCAGAGGGCGGGGTTTCAAGAGCTTGCGTATGTTAGCAGCTGCGATTTCCTCACGCAGACAAAATAAAATGACAGAAACTGTTCTCCTTTTAATGTTAAATATCAACTGGCTTTTAAAGGGAATGGGAGATGAGACTCTGATTGGTTTATTGCACGTTATTCCCAAAACACACCCTATACTCATGAAGAGAATAGGGACAACCCTTAAAGACCATGCGCCAGGTATGCCGACCATTTTTCCCAACGTTTAACTTGCAAAAGTGGATTCGGACACGCCTTAGTAAGTGCGGGGCCCTTATGTTAACAACATTGATTGGACAATACATACAAAAAACTATCTATAGGCCTATTGTTAAAAGCACTAAATAAATAAAGATGAGTTGACTTGACATGCCTGTTTTAATAATCAGCCTGTCTAATTACTTCAATGCATTTTTAGACTGTAAAAAAATATCAAATTTGATGAGGTAAGCACTGAGAGGTTTATGATTGGTTGTCTCTTGTTACATACTCAGGGTGGCATTTTAGCACCACATAGTCTCACTCATACTAAATAATTGTGGCACTGAGGTAAAACCTAGGGTAAAAACGAGCTTTTTTCTCATTAACCCAGGGTTATGTGAAAAGCCCTAGAGACCCATATTTCTCAGGATTACTTTTTCAGTGGTTTCTTATAATTGAATACCTAGACATGTCAGGTAGTAGAGGGTCAATTTGTGCTTGATACATGCCTGATATTCAAAAGCAATTTCATTTTTCCGACAGTTGACCACGTGATAGAAAAAATATTAAGAGTTGTTTTTCCTGTGCATATAATGTGGAGGAATGATGAAAAAAAAACAGTGGAGAAGAGAGAGAGCGAGACTAAGGCATTTCCTTCTAAACTATCTTCTATAGACAGGCTTGAAAACAGAACACTGTTATATTTCAATGCATTCTCAATATAACACGCTTCGGTTATGGGTAGGTTTAGGTCTGGGGTAGGGTTAGGGTTAGACCACTAGGAGGCGCCTTCTGCCCCATATATATCTGAGTCTCATATTGACGCTAAAGGGTGCCATGTGCGTTGGATGCCTACTCCATCTTAAATTCCTAAAAGCAGGGCTTGTTCTCTCTGCAGACAAAAACTTAAAGCCACACTTTAATTGCCTTATAACACAACAGCTAAGCTTTTTTTTTTTTTTTTTTTTTTTTGACTTCACATAGCCATTCTAATTTACATAGATATTCAAATTCTGTTGTCCCCCAAAGGCTTGTTAAATCGACCTGAAAGATAAATGATTATAGCCTTACAAAGAGGGAACTCCTTTTAATTTTAACAAATCATTTCTGGCCTTTATTGGTTCTCATTTCAAAAAGAAGTGGATCAGAAATAGGCTGACAAAGCAATTGGCTCCTATGCTTTTAATGAGGGGGCAAAGGTGGCACTAACTTTCCCATTTTCCCTTAATTGCTTGTCTTTCATTATGTCTCCTTAATACTCGCGAGTCGCTCTGCATCTAATTAAAATATCGGATGAATATTCAGCGTAGGGCAGGGATCCTTCATTGTTTGGGTGTGTAGAATTAGAACAAGAGTATAGGAGAGGGGAAAAGAGCTGCATCTGATCAAGTGTGTCTCTATCCCACAGCGGGCGGCACTCAAGTCGGAGAGCAGACTTTGATTGACAGCTGACTGTGGATAAACTCCTAACAGTTCACTCTGCAGTTCTGCACGCTGAAGGAGCTCTCAGGTGAACACTGTAAAACACTGGGTGGAAGACATGTTAATCTACTTACTGCCTTAATTCAAATCATTAACAGAAATTTGATCACAGAATTATTTTATAGGATAAATCGATGTGGGGACAGTTCTTATGACTTATCTGGATGAATGAGAGAACTAAATAGTTAAGAAAATCCATGTGAGAATTAGTTAATTATTTATTTATTAATTTTCTTAAATTAATAATCAGTTATTAACATGATTGCCATACATTTATGAATTATTAAAGCTGCAGCCCGTAGCTTTTTTGGGGGTTAAAAATGATCCAAAATACATATTTGAGAAAGTACATAACCAGCCAGTGTTCAACGCTGCTTGCATTAGCTCAATTCAAAGCAGTAAGCTTGTAATAATGTTTTTAATTCCAGTGGTACTGGTGGATTTCCGCGGGAGATTCGAGCATGTCTTTGTGTCATTATGCCAAATCTGTACACATAAAGAAGGAGTCTTGGCTAGTATATTGCGTGTGAGGATGCTGGTGGAGATTTAGAGCCTTTTCTTACAGCACTTGATATAATTAAACTTATTAATTCGATGGCGGATCCAGAAAGGTTTAGATAATCACCAGTGACAACTAACTCACCCGTTGTAAAATGCAAAAGACTTCTTCGGACTTCGGAGTGGCTACAGAAAAAAGCAATTTCATTTGGAGTATCATTTGGAGTTGGAAACCAGTGATTATAGTTGTATATAGTTCAAATAGGGATATTTTTTTAACAAAAACGTGCCTCTTCATTTCAGAAGGCTTTTATTTACCCTTTAGAGCCGTATGAATTACTATTATGATGGATGGATATGCATCGGATCCCATTACAAAGCTGGGATAGGATATTTTCAGTTAATATCTCTGATTATAATTGGCTGACAGTCATAAAGTCATATACACCTAGGATGGCTTGAGGGTGAGTAAATTATGGGATAATTTCATTTTTTGATGAACTAACCCTTTAATTAAACAGTCTACTAATAACTAGTTGACATGCAGTTGCATTAATAGAATGTCTAAAGTGGACTATCAAGTTTATTTATTAATTAAATAATAAATGAATTAATATTTGATACATTCATAATTCTAAAAAAATATGACAATAAATTAATGAATTTAGTATTTAATCCATTATTGGATAATGAATTCAGTGAATGTTAATGGAGTGGCAAGTGAAAAAAAATGTCTGAAATGAATGAATATGAGAATGCATGAGTGAATTAATGTATGATTGACTGAGTGATTAAGTTATTCAGTCATTTAATGATTAAAGGTCCCCTGACATGAAATTTTCACTTTCTGTGGTTTTATGACATTTATCTGTACTTCCGTGGCTCTTCCCACCGGAGCAATTTTAAAATGGAAGCTGTGTGAAATCAATGTATAGCTGTAGTAAAAGTATTCGCGAGAGTTTCACATGTAATATGTAGCTATTTCATATGCAAGCATGGCAGCCAATCACAGCAGAGGCCGGTGACCGAATCCCACAGCAGACACGCCCCTTTAAACAGAGCGTTCGGTCCCACTTTATATTAAGTGGCTTTAAGTACTATGTACTTACATTGAACAATAAGTACATGGTATTATTGTGTTCCTGTTGTATTATAAAACACTTTTGCTGCTATTGAGGTGTGATACGGGTAAGGTTAGGGACAGGTGTGGTGGTATGGGTCGGTTTAAGGGTAGGTTAAGGTGTGAGGGGAGGGTCAACTGTGTAATTACATGCTGGAATTTTATAAATGTAAGTACAATGTAAAAACATGTATGTACACAATAAGTCCATTGTATCAAATTATTAATTTCAATGTAAGTACATAGTACTTAAAGCCACTTAATATAAAGTGGGACCGAGCGTTCAAATCAGAGGCTAAAATCAGGCTAGGAAAAATGCCTTTTATTTCCAAATTATGACTATTTTTGATCTAACCATACTACCATTGTAAAAGCAACCCAAGAAACATTATAAAATAATAAATAATCCCATGTCCTGGGTCCTTTAAATGAGTGAAAAGGGTAAGTCAGTCAGTGAGTGAATAAATGAGTGGGAGAGCATGTAACTTAAGGAGCAAGTGAGAAAACAACTAATAGCTAAATTAATTAGCCGTTTATCAGTGAGTCAGTGAATGAGCAAGAGAATGCATGAATTAATTAATATGGAAATGAGTGAGGGAGCCAGTAAATGAGTAAGCATGTAAAAGTGTGAGTGATGAATGAGTGAGTGAATGGATGGATGAAAGCCTGACTGAAGAAATTAGCGTGTAGTCTGAGTGAGTGAGTGAATGAGTGTGTGAGGATTTTGCACAGATTCACAAGCGAATTTATGCGAATGCCTCATGTTGAATAATGATGAACAGGAACAATGAAAAGACTGTTGCACAAAGCTATCTTAATGTTCCTCATTCTCTCTTTTAATAATGGCAGCAGCACATTCATTATCCCCTTGACAGACATCATGGAAACTATAAAGTGAGAACAACGCTCACCTCAGGTTGAATGCATGAAGAAGGAACTTCCTGAGAGCAAACACAGAGAAAAAGCCCAGAGGGAGGTTCAAAGAGGTGAAGAGGACAGCTGAATGACACAAGCCCTGCAAAGGGACCCTGTTAGGACACGACATTAGAAAGCTTTTCAAAATGAGCACTTGCCACTCCTGCTTGTTGTCTTGTTTGCTTAGAGAGCAAAAAGATAATACAAAAGAAAGAAAGACTCTCTTCCTCTCTCAGTGCTTAAATTCCACAAATCCAAAATCCATACAGTACCTTGACACACGGGTGGATGTGTGACTGTGTAACCGAGAGGCAGATTAAGCTTCAGTCTTAACATTGAAGGGCCGCGATTGCGAGGAAGTGTTGGATTTAGTGACATTTGGCTCGCCTGTAAATTCAGTTGAAGAATTAGCAGCTTTTTCCACTTTTTTTCACCGAGCTAGAGGAACATCTTGAGAAGTTTTCTTTAGAGCTAAATGGTCAGTCAAAAGCAGCCTTGGTGCTAGAAATGAGGTAGAACACACAAACTGTGTCAACTATTATGTCTTTTCAAGTGGCTGTTTAGTGAAAGAACTCAAAGAGATGCAGGACCTTCAGCACTAAAGCAGTTTCTTATCCATTTATTTGTTGGCTTGCTTGTATGTGTGTGGGCAATGAAAGCCGTTGGATTTTTTTAGCAAGTAAAGTTTACAAACAAATGCTAATTAGCAGTCTCTCACAAGTACACACTCACAAACTTGCGACATAATTATGGTTTTAGGTGGCCTGAATGTTAAACACAGGATTTGTCGGATGACTCATGAGAGTTGGTGAGGTAATCACAACCGACTGTGCACGTCCTCCAAATTTTTACGATAAAGATGCTGAGTCTGAGAATAAATGTCTGTTTCTGTGTCAGACCTCTCACTTGTCTTGAGCATGTGTGAAGTGTTATGTCAGAGGAATAATTTAAAATATTTTTTCTTCCTTATTTGTATCTTTTCTTATTGTTTTTTATTTATTTATTAAATATATTTTAACTAAACAGAACAAGAGCTGCTATGAGGGTCCGCTTATGGAGGGTCGGCGACCCATGCACTCCTCAACATTTTTCTGTGCTACAGTATATACCTGCTATATACCTTTTGTTCTCTCTCTCATCTTCACACAAAGCCTTGAACCATTATGACAACAATTAATACCTGCCATAAATCACAGAAAGAGAGAAAGTCAGAAGGAGATGAAACTTGTCATCTTCTGCACCATCTGTCTGTTTCACGTTGATTGATGGATTCCACTCCAGACATTGTTGGGTTTTTTTTACTCTTCTTTACAAAAGGATTCATTTCATTTTTCTTCCCTCATTAATCACCCCATTCATATGATATTGACAGGCACCATTTAAGTGCCATCGTTTATAATAGAGCATTTCTGAGATACAAGTTAGGACATCCTGAAAAAGGGAAGGGACTATTTAAAGACTACATGATGTACTACTGAAGTGTCTCTTCGTTTTCAAGTGGACTATAATTTATTTCCCAACAGAACCACTATTGTAAAATCAAACTAACACCTATATACTGTATGTGTATTTCAAAGTATTATGGTATTGCTTTCTAGATGCCATAACTGCACCACTTTGAGGCACGACTAAAGGTTGTATCCTTAATGAAATGCAAGGTCCCCTTGTCCTATTGCCATTTTGTCATGCCAAGGGAGTATGCAGGGGGCGCATTGAATGCCCTACGACAAGGGCTTTTTGCTAATGAGGATTCATGCTCTGTTCTTTTGCTTGCCATATCAGAGGCTTTAGTAACTCGCTTTGTTGGAAAATCATAGGGGATTGTCCACAAGGACAGCATGAATGATGCTAAGTGAAGACAACCTCACCTACAGCACATGCTAATGGCTGGGCTAGAGAATGTACTGTAGTATGGTGTAGGGTCTCCTTTTGCGGCCAATATAGCATCAGTTTGTCTTGGAAATAACAGATACAAGTCTTTTTTAGCCATTCCTCTTCCAGAACAGTGGCCAGGTCACTATGGGGCGTTTTACAGCTGGTCACTTACATTTTCTGTGATCGGATAGATATCCGATCGTGAAAAGACCAGGTGTAAATGTCCTCCAAAATGCATTCGAGACGGATTTGAATCCGATCGCTCAAACCACTTCAGGAGGTGGTCTGGGCCGCATTCCAGATGAAACTGGACAAGTGTAAATGCATCTGGTTGTTGAAACCACATATGCAAATTTTACTCCTCCCAAAAATACTTAAAGTCCCTGTAAAGTCAAAATTAAGTATGTGTTCTGAGTTTGTCACACCACAGAAAAATGTGTAATTAGCCACCCAGCCAAATTTGAATGATAAAAAAAGCCGGGAAGTACATAAAATAAGCTATCAAAATCATTAAAAAAATGATCAGATTTTCTGTTCTCAAACGCTGGGGGCGTGTCTGCTGGCTGCGCTGAAACCACGCCCACTCACGGGAAAGCTGTTGACGATGATATTAGCTGATT